CCCAATTGAAGAAGAGTAGAGAAGACATGAAAGTGTCAAGGAGGGCATTGAGGGACTTTCCTTGGTCCAGTGGCTAAGGTTCTGTGCTACCAGTGCAAAGGGCCTGGGTTTGATTACTGGTCAGGAAACTAGTTTCCACATGCTGCATCTAAAACCTGGGGCATCCAAATAAATAAATGTTTTTAAAAAGCAGGGGCCTGAGAGGAAGTTATGAGATAAACATCTCAGGATTTATTTGTCCAGATAGCCCATTATATGTGGGTACTCAGCTACTTAGAGTGAGTCAGTCTGCCGTCACCTGTTTGATGACTGTCATGTCCAGTAGGTAGATAGTTGAGGAAAAGACAGGATGGGCAGGGTGGGGAAGATCAGGGTATTAATAAGATTGTGGACCAGAGAATATACTGGTAAAGAATGAAAGGAGCAAGATGGCTGCAGAATGGGAAATAGAGGGGCAAATGGGCTGGTGATAGTCTGGGAAGAGAGGAGCTTATCATTTGTTCTTTAATTATTACTATTTTTTTACTTCTTGGAGCTAGCCATTATTGAGTGCAGACACTATACTAAGCATTTTATGTGCTTAAATTTTGTATAATCCTTATGACAACCATTTTTATAGATGAGGAAACTGAGGTTAAGTGACTTGCCCAGGATGACAGCTAAAAAGTGAGATCTGTCTCTCCAACTTCAGAGCCCCTGCACATCTTAGGACATTTCTGCAGATCTTCCTAGCTGTCTTCCCTGCTTCATATTTACTCTCCTCTGATTCATGTTTCACTCAGCTGACAGAGTGAGCCTTTGAAAATGCAAACTGATTATATCTTAAGCATCCTCTCAGAAGCTTTCATTGTTATCAATTTTTAAATGGAAATATGTATAACAATAAGGTGAATTGATAGAGTTATAGAGGGTTGGATAGCCGGTTATCTGAAAAAGAGAATCATAGTAAAATGTTAATTGTGAGATCTAGGCAAAAACCATGTGTGACAAGCCCACAGCTAAGATCAGGAATAAGAAAGTGATGGCTACACTTGGCACTTCTATTCAACGTAGTATTGGAAGCTATAGTGAGATTAATTAGGCAAAAAAAAAGAAGTGAAAGGCATCTCAATTGGAAAAGAAGTAAAACTGTTACTATTTGCAAATGGCATGATATTATGTATGGAAAACCCTAAAACTTCCATCAACAAACTATTAGAACTAATAAACAAATTCAGCAAAATTGTGAGAGACAAAATCAACACATAAAAATCTGTTACATAGTGAACTATTGGAAAGAGAAATTAAGACTACAATCCCATTTACAGTTATATCAAAAAGAATAAAATACCTTGTAATAAGTTTTCTTCTTAAAATTTTTTTGTTTTTACCTAGGAATAAATTTTACCAAGTAAACAAAACACCTGTATAGTGAAAACTACAAGGTATTAATGAAAGAAATTAAAGAAGACACAAATAAATGGAAAGATATTCTGTGCTCATGGATTGGAAGAATTAATATTAAAATGTCCATGCTACCCCAAACAATATGCATATTCAATGCAATATCTATCAAAATTCCGATGACATTTTTCACAGTAATAAAAAAACAACAACAAAACACTAAAATTTATGGAACTATGAAAGATGCTGAATAGCCATAGCAATCTTGAGAATGAAGCTGCAGGTATCATGCTCCCTGATTTATATTACAAAGCTATAATAATTAAAACAGTATGGTATTGGCATAAAAACAGACACATAAGTCAGTAGAACAGAATAGAGAGTTCAGAAATAAACCTATACATATATGTTGGGTTAGTTTATGATAAAGGAGACAAGCATATTCAATGGGGAAAGGATAGTCTTTTCAATACATAGTGCTGGGAAAATTGGCAGCCACATGCAGAAGAATGAAACTGGACCACCATACACAAAAATTAACTCAGAATGGATTAAAGACTTGAATTTAAGACCTAAAACAGTAAAAATCCTATAAGAAAATAGAGGTGATATAGGTCTTGGCAGTGATTTTTTTAATCCAAAACCAAAACCAACTGAGCTATCAGGGAAGCCACATGTGAATACATTATATATATATACATATAAAGCTTCTTTGGATTCTATGTATAAGAGAGATCATAAAATATTTGTCTTTCTCTGAATCATTTCATTTATAATGCCCTCTAGGTCCATTCACATTGCTGCAAATGGCAAGATTTATTCTTTTATATGGCAGAATATTACATTGCATATGTGTGGCTTCCCTGATAGCTCAGTTGGTTAAGAATCTGCCTGCAATGCAGGAGACCCTTGGCTGATTCCAAGGCACCTTTGTAGGCAGGCAGGATACTTGGTTGTCATTCACTGACCTGCTTGTTCCCTTCCAGAAGCCTCTAGAGCAGTGTTTGGTAAGATGAGAGCAGAAGGAGAGCCACAGATGCCTGCAGCAGATATGTTTGCTGAAACTTCAGACTTGGTAGCCTAATTCAGCACCTGTGCAAAGACAGGATGTTCTTACTTCTTTGGGAACCTTGATCACTCCTTTCAGGAACAATCAGCTGATGTCTTGGCTCACTGTCTGCCTGAAGGAATGTCCACAATGGCATGTGACTGGGTGCCCTCAGACAAGAATGATCTCGCCATGTCTCTCTGTTGATTTGTTTTTATACCTCCCTATTTTTGCCTGATCAGGTGGCAGCTTGGGCTGCAGTCAGGAGGCTGTGCAGGCACAGAAGGCTGGCAGGTCTTGGAGCTGGGTTCATCCTAGGTTGATACTTTCTACACAGGTTTTCTTGGGCGAGTTACTCTGCTTCTCCTGTGTTTGGGGACTGACTATCAGTCTGTAAATGAGTGTGATATGTAATAAGATTACCTGCCTCATAGGACTGTTGTGGAGGAAGCTCTTAGCACAATGCCTGGCATCCAATAAGCACTCAATAAATGTTAACTTCTCATATTAGTATACTGTTCATGCTATTCTGAAATTGCTTCTGTCATTCAGACATACATCTTTCAAGTTCTGACTGTCATTTTAACAGCTGGATAGTATTCCATAATTTGGAATACTGCCTCCTCCCAAGCTTGTGTTTCTCCTGTCTGCTCTAACTCAGTTGATAATATAGCCCCATCACTGAAGCTGTCACTCTTTGTTGACTCCTGGTTCCTCTTTAGCCCCTTTATCCATTTAGTTATTAAGTTTGACTCTCATCTCTGTTCTTAAATATGTTCTTAACCTGCACCCTGCTCTTGGCTGCTAGTGTCCTGCCCTCATTCACATGCTTTTCCTCCCTGGGACCACAGCAGGTGATTAAATTCCTGCTGCTTCTGAAATTGCCTGCCACTGGGCTTACTTAGGCCCCGCAAATCCTTTGCTGTTCAGCTGCCAAATCTGCAGATCTGACCATGTGTCTCTTCGTGGTACTTGATGGCCCATGGCAGTCACAAGGCATAATGTTGACCTTAGTAAGGTTTACTGATGACAGCTGATGAGGCAGAGAGTAGTAGAGGCTCCATGATCTCCCCAGGCCCATAATTACTTTACAGAGAGGTGGGCAGGGCTGGCAAAGAGCCTTCCACCTTGTCAAGGCTAGCCTTGTCTTGCCTTTGGTAGACATCAACCAGGTGGGGTAAGGGACACCTAGTTTTTAACAAGAAATGTCCAAATGTTGAACCCAGTAAGCCACCTTTGAGTCTTCAGAGCTCAGCTAGAGGATGTGTGTATCCAAGTTGTTGACAAGCCCAGGCCTTGCTGTCCTTCCTAGAGCTGGTAAGGAAGAGCAGAGGTCCCACAGCCATCTATCTGCAACCACAGGTTTGTCTCTCCCCAGTTAACCAATATGTGACTGTCCTTGACTCTCACTTCACACTCCCAACACCCCTTGCTACTTGGAGTGGCCCAAGCTGGTTCCTCTGGGAGCCAGCCATGGCCTACCCCATGCCTGAGGACAGTCTCCTTCAGAAGGCCTACTGCCCCTCTCTGGGTGTCTCTCCACCTTATCATGGTGTTAGCATTGTCTGTCTCTGTGTTTGGATCATCCAAACATAAGCGACTCAAAGGAAGTATCTATCGTACTCACCCTTTGTATCCTCGAGGCCTGGCTTGTTAACTGTTGTCTGAAGGTTACAGAAGAAGATGCAAGTCACCTGTAATCTCACTACCCAGGAATTAAACCACTGAATTAATTACCACTGGATTTAAGATGGAGTATACTGGAGAATTCCATGGACTGAGGAGCCTGGCAGTCTACAGTCCATGGGGTCACAGAGAGTTGGACATGACTAAGCTACTAACACTTTCACTTTCACTTTTCATACCCTTCCAGACTTGTTTTTCCTAGCTATGTAGGTGTGTACATGCATGCTAAGTCGCTTCAGTCGTGTCCTCTTTTTTGAAATTCTATGGACTGTAGCCCTCCAGGCTCTGTTCATGGGATTCTCCAGGCAAGAATACTGGTGTGGGTTGCCATACCCTCCTCCAGGGGATCTTCCCAACCCAGGGGTTGAACTCTAGTCTCTTATGTCTCCGGCTTTGGAAGGTGGCTTCTTTACCACTAGTGCCACCTGGGAAGCCCTTTCTAGCTGTAGGTCTGTATATTTCATACACATGTGTCTCACACACAATATTTTATAAAATCTGGATGAAACCCTGCCTGTAGTTTTTAAATCTTTTTCCATTTAATATATCATGGACAGTTTCCCATATTGTTAAATATTTATTCACTCCTTGGATTGTACTGCTGCACAGTATTTCATCCTTATCAGACATGCAGTTCATTTTCCAGCTGAAATTATTCATGGTTTCTTTCTGTTCTGAGAATTGTTTATTTCTCATAATGGAGAGACATAGTGAACATATACTGGGTCTAAAATGAGGACAAGGAAAACCATTAATAACAAGAAAGTAAATTATTATGATTCTACTGTTGTTTGGCCTTTAAGGTGCTTTAAGCCTTGGCTGTAATGGAGGCTTCTCTCATGCAATGCCTTCTATATTGAATTGTCTCATTTTCTTCATGCAGGACTATGGCAACCCAGGAGACCACTCCAGGTAGTCAGACAGAGGAGAGCAATGCCTTGGACCTGCCATCAGCTTATGACATAAGGGATTATGTGTTGCAGAGACCCAGCCAGGAGACCAACAGTGAGGCTTTTAGTTCCGAGGAAGCTTATTCTATTCCTTGCTCTTCTGATGTGGATCCAGGTAAGAAGCAAAGTTTAAAACAAACTAATATTAAACAAACAAAAAACTCCTGACATACACATATGTGATGGTTTGTTTCTCTGCCTTCCAGTGCTGGATCTCTGAGGAATCATTCCTTGTCTTGGAGAGAAAAACATCTAAGTGAAACTGTTGGGAGAGACTTCAAAGGACAGCCTCCCTGGTGAAACCAGGGCAAGGAGTGGTTTCCTGGAGGCCCCTTTGTCTGAGTCTCTTTCTGATCTCCATCCAAATACATTTAGAGACAGGGAACACTTGGTTCAATAGGGAGAGAGTGAAATTGTTTTTTTTTTGTTGTTGTTGTTCTTTTAAAATTTCAGAAAGAGGGAAGTGGGAGGGGGGTTCAAGATGGGGAACACATGTGCACCCATGGCTGATTTATGTCAATGTATGGCAAAAACGACAATATTGTAAAGTAAATAGCCTCCAATTAAAAAAAGAAAACTTCAGAAAATAGTCATGTGAGCCTGTTGTGTGTCATGGAGACTTTAGTGTTCCTCTTATGAAGTATACTCTGAATTTAGGTAACAACCCTTCTGTAAGTTTCCCTGACTGAATTGCTTAAAAGTCTATTTAAGTTTAGTGACAGTTCTTTGACCTAGCTAGTGATTATTTCTGGTTATAAGCCTGTCTCCTCCTTGTTTATTGCCTAATCCAGGCCCGGATATTCGCAGATTCAGAGTTCTGCCACTTACTGGTTATGTGACTCGGGTCATATTTCTTAACCCCTCTGACTCTAGAATTGTCTACAGAATGAGAATCAGAATGCTTGCCTCATGGAGTAGGTTTAACTCAGGGAACAGTATAAGGGACCCATCATAGTGTTTGCCATACATAGATAGTCAGTTGCTGTTATTCTGGTGCTGTTATTACTGTTGTTCTTAATATTGAGAAACCCAAATAGTATTTTTTTCTAATGTGGAAAATTGTATTTATTTCCAAATATGTATCTTTAAAGAGCACTCAGACACTAAGAAAATGTTGGCCGGAAAGATGATGAGTTCATCATCTGGTAACATTATCAGTGTTGCCAGTAAGTAAGATGTGTACCTTTCATTGTCTTTAAGAATTCTATGGGGAAAAAAATACTTTTAAACTCCCTTATGGTTCTGTTCTGATTGTTTTTTAAATTAATTTATTTTTTATTGAAGGATAATTGCTTTACAGAATTTTGCAGTTTTCTGTCAAACCTTAACATGAATCAGCCATAGGTATACATATATCCCCTCCCTTTTGAACCTCCCTCCCATCTCTCTCCCCATCCCACCCCTCTAAGTTGATACAAAGCCCCCGTTTGAGTTTCCTGAGCCATGCAGCAAATTCCAGTTGGCTATCTATTTTACATATGGTCATGTAACTTTCCATGTTACTCTTTCCATTCATCTCACCCTCTCCTCCCCTCTCCCCATGTCCGTAAGTCTATTCTCTATGTCTGTTTCTCCATTGTTGCCTTGTAAATAAATTCTTCAGTACCATTTTTCTAGATTCTGTATATATGTGTTAGAATACGGTATTTATCTTTATCTGACTCACTTCACTCTGTATAATAGGTTCTAGGTTTATCCACCTCATTAGAATTGTCTCAAATGCATTCCTTTTTATGGCTGAGTAATATTCCATTGTGCATATATACCACAACATCTTTATCCATTCATTTGTTGATGGACATCTAGGTTGCTTCCGTGTTCTCACTATTGTAAATAGTGCTGCAGTGAACAACGGGATACATGTGTCTCTTTCAATTTTGGTTTCCTCAGGGTATATGCCTAGGAGTGGGATTGTTGGGTCCTATGGTGGTTTCATTCCTAGTTTTTTAAGGATTCTCCATACGTTTTCCATAGTGGCTACATAAATTTATATTCCTATCAACAGTGCAAGAACGTTCCCTTTTCTCCACACCCTCTCCAGCATTTGTTGTTTGTAGACTTTTTGATGAGGGCCATTCTGACCGCTGTGAGGTGATATCTCCTTATAGTTTTGATTTGCATTTCTCTAATAATGAGCGATGTTGAGCATCTTTTCATGTGTTTGTTAGCCATCTGTATGTCTTCTTTGGAGAAATGTCTGTTTAGGTCTTTTCCCCACTTTTTGATTGGGTTGTTTGTTTTTTTGGTATTGAGTTGTATGAGCTGCTTGTATATTTTATAAATTAATCCTTTGTCAGTTGTTTCATTTGCTATTATTCTCTCCCATTCTGAGGCTTGTCTTTTCGCCTTGCTTATAGTTTCTTTGGCTGTGCAAAAGTTTTTAAGTTTAATCAGGTCCCACTTGTTTACTTTTGTTTTTATTTCTGTTACTGTAGGATGTGGGTCATAGAGGAGCTTGCTTTGATTTATGTCATCGAGTGTTCTGCCTATGTATTCCTCTACGAGTTTTATAGTTTCTGGTCTTACATTTCTGTCTTTAATCCATTTTGAGTTTCTTTGTGTATGGTGTTAGGAAGTGTTCTAAAAAATTTCATTCTTTTACATGTAACTGTCCAGTTTTCCCAACACTGTTTATTGAAGATCTGTTCTGATTTTTAGGACATAGTAATCGGGATCAGTCAGCCTCCTTTAGTCCTAAGCAAGAACTAACTTATTTCTTATCCTTTTTCTTTTAGGCTCAGAATTGTGGTTCATTTAATCTTTTCTCTTTCCCTCCCATCCTGCTGCCTCTGCATTACTTCTCATCCCAAAGAGAACAACTGTTAACTACTTTGAATTGAGGTGACCATTGAAAAGTTTATATTGGATTTAAAAATCTAGACATTTCATGGAAAAAAGATTATTTTGGAAGCCATCATAAAGATCTGAAAATGGAAAGGAGTACTCCGATCTGAGAGAACTGTTTTGCATAGCATGGGTGGTGGTGGTGCTGCGTTAGACTGCCTGGCTTAAATTCTGGTCCTGCTTTTTCCTGTGGTTTGGGTACATCGTTTGGCCTCTCTGTGTAGGTTCAGTCGTGTATAAAATGGGGATAGTAATGCCTACCTTGTCATGGGGCAGCCATAATGATAGTCAAAGTGTATGAGGCATAATGCCTGGCACATGGTGGGTTTTGGAAACCCAGCTCTTCATGCGTTTATCTCCTGGGCCTCTTAACACACTGCCACAGTGACGAGACTCCTTTTTTTTTTTTAAATAATTTGAAGTATAGTTGACGTTCAATATTATATAAGTTACAAGTACACAACATAGTGATTCAAAATTTTTAAAGGTTATACTCCATTTACAGTTGTTATAAGATATTGGTGATATTCCCCATTATATGGTATGTCCTTATAGTGTATTTATTTTGTGCATAATAACTTGTACCACTTAATCCTCTTTGCATCTTACCCCTCCTCCTCTTCTCCCCACTAGTAACCACTAGTTTGTTCTCTATATCTGTGTGTCTGTTTCTTTTTTGTTATACTTACTAGTTTGTTTTATTTTTTAAATGCTATGTATATAAGTGGTCTGACATTTAACTTAGCGTGATACTCCACAAGTCCATTCATGTTGTTGCAAATGGCAAAATTTTGTCCTTGTTTATGGCTGAGTAGTATTCCATTGTATATACATACTGCATCTTCTTTTTTCATTCATCTGTTGATGGACACTTAAGTTGCATCCATATCTTAGCAATTATAAGTAGTACTGCTGTGAATATTGGAGTACATATATCTTCTCGAATTACTGATTTTGTTTTTTTCAGATGTATACCCAGGAGTGGAATTTTTGGATCATATGACAGTTTGCTTTAGTTTTTTGAGAAAACTCCATACGGTTTTAGTGTGGAGTGGCTAAACTCCACACATTAGTGGCTGCACCGATTTACATTCTCATCAACAACATATAAGGGTTCCCTTTTCTCTACATCTTCATGACAAGTTCTGTTTAAATTCATAACCTCCTACCACAAGTGGAGCCTCCTTATTGCCCATCCATCACACAATTTTTCCCCAACATGTTCACCCTCCTGGGTCACTGTATAGTATTTTCTCCTCTCTTTGCAAATTCCCGTTACCTCCTTCAAGCTTTCTTTCAGCTGCTCTTGGTTTCCTGTTTCATCAAGAAAACAGAAGCTCTCAGAAGAGAATGAGCACACCCTCACACCCCACACCCGTCAGCTTCTTTCCCTCTTCCGTCTTGTTTCTGTGGGAGACCCACCCCTGCCTATTCTTCTCTTCCTGTCTACTTTCATCTGCCCAGCATCTGCACTGCTGGTCATCTCTGGCATCATTGGTTTCTTCTCTAGTGGTCATTCTCATGATTGTACAGACATGTTTTAATAGCTCACATCTTCAAAAAATACCCACCCTCGACCCCAAATCCCCCTCCAGTTGTAGTCTCATTCCTCTGTTCTCTGCTACAGAAAAACCCTCAAAAGAGTCATCTACACTTGCTGTTTCCAGTTCCTCTTTTCCTTGTTTCTCCTAAAACCCTCCAACCTGGCTTCTAGCTCCATTACTCCATGGAAATAGCTCTTGTCAAGGTCATTATTAGATCAAAAGCCTTCTTCTTCTTTTAATATTTATTTATTTGGCTGCGCCAGGTCTTAGTTGTTGACACATGGGACCCTTAGTTGCAGCATGTGGGATCTAGTTCCCTGACCAGGGATCAAACCCATACTGCTTGCATTGGGAGTATGGATTCTTAGTCACTGGATCACCAGGGAAGTTCCTAAGCCTTCTCCTTCTTGATCTGTCAGCAGCATTGACTTTTTTCCTTCTTGAATTCTTTCTTCCTTGGATTTTCAGGGAAGCAGCGTCTTCTTACTTGTCTATTTGTTTTTAGTCTCTTTTGCCTGATTCTTTCCTCTCCAGCCCGTTAGTGTTGGAGAGCCTGGGGCTGAGTTGTCAGCTCTTTGCTCTGTCCTCACGCACTTGCTGAGTGATTTTATCCAGTGTCAGGGCCTTAAATGCCCTCAGAGCCCTGCTGAGTCCCAGATTTCTCTCTCCAGCTTGGATCTCTCGCTTGACATTTAGACTCACTATGTACTTGACCTCATCGCTTAGA